AAAAAAAAAAAAAAAAAAAAAAAGTGCCATATAGGCATATAATTTGTGTGTCAGTGAGGCAGATCTTCCTTATCATATTAAAGGTTAAAAGTTATGGATGCACCAATAAATAAGGATCTCAGTCTAGAGTCTTCCCCAGGTAGGCAGGCCCAATTGTGAGGCAGCATTTTTTCCCCATACACATACATGCACTTTTCAGTGTGATAAAGTTATGAGTTAAAACATCAAATGTAAACTTGCTTTAAAAGATGTAGAATACAGTAGTGATTCCTGACTAGCAACCTTCTGTGCAGTGCTTTTTCTCCTGAGTTGATAAAAGAAAAAAGAACTTTAGAATGAAAGCAATTTAAAACATTTAAAACTTAATTATTTGAATAGATAATTCATTCCCATGATTCAGACATTTAAAATAAAAAGTAAACATACAGAGAAGTTTCTCACTATATTCCCCCAACTCCTCATCCCTTCCCCATGGGTAACCAATAATTAATTTCTTAGTTACTAATATATGAGTAAATATGAATATATATACATTTTATTCCCATCCTTCCCCCCCCACTTTATTTTTTTTTAATTTTTTATTTTTTTTTGTGGTACTCGGACCTCTCACTGTTGTGGCCTCTCCCATTGCGGAGCACAGGCTCCAGACGCGCAGGCTCAGCGGCCATGGCTCACGGGCCCAGCCACTCTGCGGCATGTGGGACCCTCCCGGACCGGGGCACGAATCCGTGTCCCCTGCATCGGCAGGCAGACTCTCAACCACTGCGCCACCAGGGAAGCCCCCCCTTTTTTTTAAAGAAAAAAAAACATGTAAGGCAACATGCTCTGCACTGTTTGGCACTTAATATAAGTAAAATAGTTCCATTTTTAAAATAACTGAGTGCTACTCCTTTGAGTAGTCTATTATAATTAAACAGGTTTCCCAATGAGGGACATTTAGGTGATTTTCAGCCTTATGATCTCATAAATTGTGTTGTAGTGAATAATCTTTATATTATTTTACACATGTGCAAGTATATTTGAAGGACAGATTCCCAGAAGTGTGGCCAAAGAGCATATAGTACATTTATAATTCTGATACATGCTTGCCACCTTCTGCCTGAGGGCTGTACCCTCTTATACTCTTGCCAGCAATATATGAGAATGTCTGTTTACTCAAACTCTTGACCAACATAGTGAATTATAAGACTTTCAGATGTTTTCCAACCTGACAGGTGAAAATCACAGATATAATTTGCAGCTCTCTTATGAATAAGATGAGCATTTTTAAAGATATGTTTAAGAAGCACCTTTGTGTTTCCTTTTCTGTAAACTTTTTTGTTTATTCTTTTGCCCACTTTTGCTATTTAGTTATTGGCCCTTTTTTTGAGAGTCTGTTTCAAGGGTCTAAGTTAAATTGTGCAAGGACAGACAGACTGTGAGTGATACGCTAACTGAATAAATGTAGTGACCTCCCTGGCTATAAGCACCCATATATCTTTAACTGACCCACACCCGGGAGTCCCAGAGAAAGAGTACTTCCTATGCAACTTTTCTTTTGTGGCCAGGTGCTGAGCTGCCTATTTCTCTTCTGTGCATTTTTCACAAAGACCTTTTTAATGCAAAACTTGCATCTTTAACATACAGTGAAAAAAAGAATTCCATAAGGCAGTGAGATTAGGTGGGTTAGCTCAAAGTGCAAGTAGAAATTCCACCTCAGTGTGAATTCAGCAGGCCTCTCTTGGGCTATGTGAGTTTTAGAAATTATTTTAATTCTTTCCCCTTGAGCTACCTTAACTTTATATTGTTTCCATGAGAAAATAAGTTCCCACTTATATCCTAGCTTTTAAAATTCCATTCATGATGAACACTGTTACACAACAGCATGGATAAATCACACAGGATAAATTGCATAGGCTGATACTGAGTAAAAGGAAAAAGAAATCAGATACAAAAGAATACATAAAATATGGTTCCATGTATATGAAGGTCAAAAACAGAAAAAACTAATCTATGGTGGTAGAAATCAGAGTATTGGTTACCTTTAGGAGGGTAGTACTGACGGGAAAGGGACACAAGGGAGCCTTCTGGGGGCATATTATATATGTTCTATATTTTGATCTGGTGGTTTCACAACATATATTAAAAATCCATCAAGCACAGTTAAGATTTGTATACTTTACTGTAAGTATGCTATCCCTAAAATGAATTCTGCTTTCATACATATAGGCTATCCACTTAAAATAGTATATTCTGATTATACAAGTAATATTTAGGATGTTGGGGTAATACAGTATTATACAAAGAGGAAAATAAAATAATTCATAAACCCACCACCTAAGGGTTACTACTATTAACATTTTGGTGTCTCTCATTTTTATTTTTTTTTGTATCCATTTTTAACATGAACTATACAACTTTGCATTCTGCCCCACCCTATTCCCTCCACTTAATGTATCATGGTTAAAATTGCCTTTTTAAAGCAATGCTATGGAAATACAAGCTCCAATCTCAAAAGGCAAGTAAAACTAAACAGAAAGGGGCTGTTTCACTTCTCTGAAGTTAGACATGATCCAACACTGGTTTTATACATATGCTTGATGATGCTTTTTAAGTACTAAATACTCAGGGGTCAGGCCAGGAGATAATATACCTCTCTTCACAAGAGTTAGGGCAGAGAAGATTTCAGAAGTTCTACAAAGGAAAGCCAGGAGGCCTCAAGACATTTCAGAACTTGGAAGAAAAAGGCAAAATGAAGATCAAAAACAAAACTTCCATTTCTTTACTTTGCATGGGAGAGAAAACCTATCTCATGTGACTGTAATTGCACTGTTACATAAATTAACATTTATGAGAATATTGCTGTTAAATCTTGATTTATCCATGGCAGTGTTTTTTCACGGGTTGCTTTCCTTGTGTGTTTGTTCCAGACCCCTGTAAAAGAGCCCAACAGTGAAAACGTAGATATCAGCAGTGGAGGAGGCGTGACAGGCTGGAAGAGCAAATGTTGCTGAACGCTCTCCTGTTCCATCAGTTGCCATCCACCACCCTGTTTTCTCTTCCTGCTGCAAAATAAACCACTCTGTCCATTTTTAACTCTTCAACAGATATTTTTGTTCCTCATCTTTTAACTCCTAGTCCACCTGTTTTATTTGTTCTTTCATCTGTGACTGCTTGCTGACTTTATAATTTTCTTCAAACAAAAAAATGTATAGAAAAATCATGTCTGTGAGTTCATTTTTAAATGTACTTGCTCAGCTCACCACTGCATTTCAGTTGTATTATAGTCCAGTTCTTATCAACATTAAAACCTATAGCAATCATTTCAACTCTATTCTGCAAATTGTATAAGAATAAAAGTTAGAATTAACAATTTTATTTTGTACAACAGTGGAATTTTCTGTCATGGATAATGTGCTTGAGTCCCTATAATCTATAGACATGTGATAGCAAAAGAAACAAAAGCCAGGAAAACACTCATTTTCGCCTTGTATATGTAAATGGGGTTAATTTTGTCCTGTGCCTTATGTGGAAAGGAACTCCTTTGGTTTTTCCTTTTTTTGTTTTGGTGGAAGCATGTGCAGGAGACATATCATCGAAACATAAAGCATTATAATGTTTGTGGTTTGCTTGGCTGTAATTTTCAAAGTAGTTAACTGAGGACAAAGGATAATGCAGAAATGATAGCTTTGGTTTGTGGAGTCTCATTTTAAGTGACCTTTATAATTAAAACTATTCCTGCCACCGGTTCTTTTCCTTGGCCACTTTTTCCTTGTGTCTCTTCCTGCATGCTGCTTTATTTGCTTCTCCCCCACCACCGTGCGGTATGATTTATTTAAAAATGAAAGGGGTAAATTAGCAGGTTTGTCGAGTTTAACATAAAGCACTGATTTAACTTGCTAAGTAAACTGAAAGATAAATTCTAACTGCCTGTTATCAAGTTAACTGTGTCCTCCCCTCATTTTCTCTCCCCTAAAGCTTCTGTCCCAGATCCCTTCATTTGCTGTTCGACTTCATGTTCCTCTTCTCTTTC